TGCAAAGCCTATTCCATTCCAACGGAAATATGAGTTTTATTCAAGACAATATTTTCATAGGTCAAATGCCTAATCGTATTGTGGTGGCATGTGTCGATAATGATGCCTTTAACGGAAACTATAAAAAGTCTCCTTTTGAATTCAAGCATTATAATATGAACTTTATCGGCGTTTATGTGTGGACGGTCAACCGGTACCTCATAATCCTCTTCAGCCTAATTTTGACAAAAATCATTTCATACGAGCTTATCAGAATTTATTTATGAATGCAGACGACAGAGGACTTTACCTTTCAAGATCAGAATTTTCAAAAGGATATTCCTTATTTCGCTTCGACCTGTCACCTGACCTTTGTGATGGCTCTCATTTAAATCTAGTTCGACACAGCAACTTAAGATTAGAAATAAAATTTGGGACTCCCTTACAACAAACTGTTTCGTTATTAGTGTACGCTGAATTTGAAAATTTGATAGAAATCAATAAAGCTCGAAATATTCTGTATTCTGTACGATTTTGGAAACTGATGAATTCATCACAGATTCATCAAATCTTATCTCGAGATCCTATTTCTTCGAGATATTATGCGGGTGTTTTTCCTTGTGATAAAATACCTGCGATTCAAAGTTTTCCCTGTGCACTGGTGCTCAATACGGACAAACATGATGAAAAAGGAACTCATTGGCTAGCTGTCTACCTTGCAGATCAACAGACTCTGGAATTTTTCGACTCTTATGGACTCCCGCCTGAAGTATATGGAAAAGATATCACATCCTTTGTCAAGAAATATCGTCATGTTTGCTGGAACAAGATTTCGCTTCAGAGTTTAACTTCTAATGTATGTGGACATTATTGTATTTATTTCATTATTAAACGCTGTCAAGGACTCTGTATGGAACTCATTGTATCACCCTTAGATGGGAAGAATCATGATTTCCAAATATTTCAATTTGTCAAAAAAAGATATGGTGTAAACATGATTTTTAAAAAATAAAGTTGTTTTAATTTGTAAAAATGTCTCTTGTTTCTACACTTATTTAAACAAAATGAATAAATGTCTTATGCAAAAGGATTTTCGATTAAGTATAAAAGTGAGTGTTTTCTTAACATGCTGTCATTTCCAAAAATGGAACTGCCCAAGTTCGTACATCCTTCTACTTGTCTTCTGAGCGGACCTACCGGTTCGGGAAAAACATTTTTTGTGAAGAAATTGATAGATCATAAAATGTTCCATCCCATGCCGACCAATATTATTTATTGCTACGGAAGTTATCAACCTCTTTTTAATTCCATGAAAAACGTAAATTTTGAAGAAGGATTACCATCTAACCTGCAGACTCTTCAAAATGCTTTAATTATCATAGACGATTTAATGTCTGAATTAGCAAGTGATACTCGCTTAAGCAAACTTTTTACAAAAGGAAGTCATCACCGAAACCTTTCAGTCGTTTTTATAACACAAAATCTTTTTCACCAAGGCAAGGAGATGAGAAATATTCATTTAAATTCCCATTACCTTGTCCTATACAAAAATCCTAGAGATAAAAGTCAAATTATGCATTTAGCTAGACAAATGTTCCCCGGAAAAGTAAAGGCCTTTCAAGAAATTTTTCAGGATGCTACTTCAACTCCATTTAGCTACTTGTTGATTGATTTACGACCTGAAACAAGTGAAACGCTTCGCCTTCGTACAGGCATCTTTCCTGGGGATAAATACTATGTCTACCAGCCCCGATAGTTCATTTCAGTTTGAGACGTCGAATGGCTAACATGTCTTCTCCCATCGTGATCGATTTCGAAGGTTTTCAATGGATGCCTCATTGCTACATTGTCAAAGAATTAGCCTTGTATTCTGTGCATGAAGGATATCACAGTTGCTGGTCATTTTTACCTCCTCAACCTTGGAAAACATTATCACGATCTCAGCAAAAGTGTTTTGCTTGGATAACCAGAAATCGTCATCACATGAATTGGAGTGAGGGTGTATTACCTTATACTCACCTTCGTATTATTTTGCAATATTTGTCATCTATTTATTCTGTCATATACGTGAAAGGATTAGAAAAGAAATTATTTTTAGAAAATTTATTATGTAGAGACATCATAAATCTAGACTGTCCTAAGATAGAGAATTTAAAAAAGAAAAGTTCTTTAACATGTTCGATTCATGCAAAAGGATTTAATTGCTGTGCTTTAACCAAAGCGGCTGCATTTGCTACCTATATAAAAGAAAGTGTGCAAGAAGAAGAGCTCATTTGTCATCAGCATGTCTCATCTGAAGGATGTGGATTATCTAAAACTATTAGGAAAAAGTCGAATAAAAGCAGCTGTACTGAAAAAGTGTCCGAATCATCTCATTAAATCAGTTTGTGAGTGTGTTTTAAATCTTCTAAAAGGAAACGTACCCATCACCAAACGCGTCAAAAATCGACTCGCCCCTTTTAAAAGAACTTTAAGAAAACTAGCGGACAAAAAAGTACCTCTTTTTAAGAAAAGACGTCTTTTGGTTCAAAAAGGTGACGGTTTCCTATCTTTCCTGATTCCTGCAGCAGTCAGTGTCTTATCCTCTCTTATCCATGGAACACAGTAAGAAATTTGCGCTGGTACCCCTGGATCGTATGCACCAGTTTGAAGATGAACATTTGAGTGATTTAGATACCCAAATTCAAAACATCTTAAAAAAGAAAATGGACGATGAAGAAAAGTCCTAAATTGTACATCCAGGTTCTGCAAAAGTATGTTACATTTCCTCATGTGAACACTTCCGAAGAACAACCGCCTGAACAACGTTCTGAGAAAGATATAGAAAAAGAAATTATGCAAACAGTTCCTGTGAAAGCAGAAAAGAACGGCACAGAAAATAATAGATTTTCTAAAAGAGCATCAGATTTCCTGGACACAGAATAAAGAACTCATTCTGGATGATCATGTGTTTTCTGGCTCCTGACATTGTTCAAGTTGATAAACTTTCTGTTGAGAAATAGAACTCAAAAACCTTTTGCCTTTGAACAGTTTAAAAATGTACTGAATGTTAACAACTTTCCTCAAGACTTTGTCAAAAACAAACATTTAATGAATGTAAAAACTATGTATGCTAGACCTAAAAGAAACGCATCTTCCAAACTATGGCTGAAATTGTAATGATACGTGAATAAATGTAATGGCTGATCATTGGTGTTGTATTTCTTTCTAATTAAGTTAACATAATTTTTGAAAAATAAAATATGACAATTATTTTCTAAGGAAAAACTTACCTTTCATGAAATCCTTTCAAATAAAAAAACACCATTTTATCATTCAAACTTCTGTTTATTTTTTTTTTCTAAATAAGTTTTTTTTATACACATACAAATGCATGATTCTGCACATATATATATATATATATTTACATACAAATTTTTCATTTTCAGATAAGGTTCTAACATAAACATAAAAAGTTCTTCTTCAATATACTAATGACCATACGGCAATGTGCTCAAGTCTTTTTGAATTACCCGTTTATCCAACACAATTCTGTACAGTTTTGTCTCGGGTTTATTCATCACCTTTCTTCTCTTCGCTTCTCGGGTGATTTTGGAGGGGTTGTGGAGAGAGATGATCTCACTTCGGTCGAGGCTGCAGACCAGACTTTTAATGGCTTCAAAATTCAGCAACTGAGAATTCCGGAAATTCAATGAAAATCCTCGGACTTTGCAGCAGGTTTTCCCAGTGGCCGTCTGGTATGCGTAGTTTTTCGGTCCTCCTGAAAAAATAAAACATCATGAGAAAAAAAGAGATAATAGAAAAACTTTCAATATTTTTGGTACATGTTAAATAAAGAAATTTTTTTAAAGGTCCTTACCAGAGACAAAGGTTTTGATGACATCACCCTCCAGTTCATCCGTAAATTCACCCAGGAAGTTGCCCAAGGGGGATCATTGCGGCCATTCGAGGCATAGATGATGGAAGTCTGTGTGTCGTGGTACAGGACATCTCTACCCAACTTCTCCATTTCACTATACAGCTTGAGACGAGCCCAAGCTGTTGTGAAGGTCGCTAGGAAAATGTTGGTCGAGGCATCCTGCGGCACAAACTCCTTCGCAGATTCCCAGGAAATGGCAGCCACCTCAGGCGTGGGAAGAAAGACATCTTTGATCTAAAAAATAGAAGAGTCATGAGATAACAGTTCAAAATAGTTCATAAGTTAACAGTTTGAAACACTTTGAGTTTACAGATGAATAAAATCGGTAAGGAAACTTACTTTTTAGTAGGAATCCGCCAACATCTTATTGAAGTCTGGCACCGTGTGGACATAGGTCAGTTGGGCTTTGTTCACGTTCATACCCCATCTGTGAAAAAAAGCTATCATAAATCACAACGAATTAAAAATATTTATAAAAATTAAGTACAAAAGAAATCATCTTACCTGCCCCAGAAACTGTTCAGGGCCAACTTGGCGACTTGTCGACGCCCAGGGTTCTTGGAAATCTTTCCAGCGTCCAACTTGACGCCCTCTCTTTCTTCATACTGGCGAATGTACTTCAGTCTGGCTTCTTCTGTCACACACTCCGAAGGCCATCCGCTACTTTCCTGCTTGATCTTCAGAAACAGATCAATGTATGATCTGAACAGAGAAGTAGACGATGCCTGGAAATGGTACACTTCGTAAATCTAGAAAATAAAAAATAAATGTCAGTTATAAAAAATTTTTAAAAGTAACCTCTGAAACTAAATAAAGATTAAAATAATCTTTGAGTACTTACATGTGTGACGCGGTAACCTTTCTTTTTCGCCAGTTTGACTTCCTCCGTTACCCACGTTCCGACAAGAGCTCGCTCGTCGTCTGTGGGTACACGGAGTCTGCAGTTGAAGAAGGGCGCAAGTCCGACACAGGGGGAACATCAGCTTCTTCCGGCACCGATAGGGCAGTACCGGAAGATACAGATTCCGTGGAGGAATCACTCGGCATTGGATAATTCCAAAATAATCTTCCACATCTCTAAAGCTTTCCGTGATGATTGTTGGATGTCCCACAGGGTAGACGCAATACTTGTTCACCTGTGAATGAAAACAAAAAAAGTCAGAAAAAACACATCATAAAAATATACAGAAAATTTAGAAAAGTTTAAGTAAACATTTTTGAAATAATAAAAAGTACGAACCCATGGATAGAGTGAGGTAAAATCCACATATTTTGCGTCTCCCTCGTGGAACAATTTGAGGGCATTGGTCCTTCCTCCAAAAAACGACTCGCGAGGATTGAGTCGATCCCTCAGATGGTGTTGCTCCAGGAAAGCTTGGAGATCTGGATTTTCCTCCTTCTCTCTTTGAAACTCATGCTCCCACATTTCGATGACGTGGAAACCCTGGGTGCGAAGCTTTCTTGTCGTCTCTTCTGTCTTTTCTCTTAACGTTGCCATGGAAACCCCTTTCAGTGGATGTATGATATCACCATCGTAACACGAACTACACCCGTGGAAGAAACAGCCCTAAAATAATACAAATATATTAATAGTGTTCCACATGTAAATTAAACATTAAAAGTGTAAAATCATTAAAAAGAATCATATAGAAATATAATTTACTTTTTACATACCTGAAACTGATAGACGGTTTGTGTTTCTTGGCAGAATCCGTCTACCGAGATTCCGGCGACTCTGTGCTCTCCGGAACCGTTCAACGCATGTTGAATCTGTAGGCCTTCCGAAGCAGCAACAAAGTCCAACCATCGGATCGAATCAGGGCTGTAATTCGTTGAGTTGATGTAGCCGTGTGTAGGCACCATGGCAATCGTGTCGGGTTGAATGTGGCCACTCCGATACGTTGCCATACAGGCTGACGCAATGGTCACGTATCTGAAAAGACAAAAATAAAGAACGATTTAATGAACTGTAAATATGATTATTATTGTATAAGAAAATGAGAAAATGACTTACTGGAATGGATCCACATTCGCCACATCCAAAAACTGGGCTCGAAACTCCAGGCAAGCAACGGCGAAGAATGTCCACGTCCGATCTATTAAAAGAAAAAATGTTAAAAATACGAAATATAAAATGAAATAAAATAAAATAAAAATAAAACAAGAAGGAAAAAAAATATACCTGCAATAGGCCAGCATCTCATCTTGAAAGTTAAACACATCCCCCTTGTGTTTCTCATGCCAGGACAGAAATGCTTGTCGTGCTGAAGTGCTCATGGTATCCGGGCTGTAGTACCGGGGCTCAGGCAGCGGTCCGTCATAATTTTGGTTTTCCCTCGAGTTGAAAAGATGGGGAAAGTATCCCTTTTTCAGCTCGCTGAGACCGAAGCACCCCGGTAGTTTGGCCAACGCCATCGGTAAAACGTTTAACGAGTCTATGACCCGAATGTTCAGACTAGGGTGTCTTACACTCATGATCATAGACCCGTTAGGGATCACCTCCGGCGCTGTGCCTTGCTCCAGGAGCCAGGCCATCACGAACTGTCCGTCAAACCTGTAAGTAAAAAAAAAACATGAATACTATTGAAAAAAAAAAGCCATGAAAACTAAAGCATGCAAACTATGGTATTTTTAACTTACCCTTTCATGTTGTGTGCCACGGCGGTGAAGCCCTTGTGTTGTGGGGTGAACAGCCAGGCGCAGAAATCTTGGCATGCTTCGTAACCCGAAAACACTCCTCTGTGCCTTCGGCATACTGAGCCACCGCGAAATTTACGAGATGCTCCCCCGAAGACTGGTCCGTTTCAAAGTCAAAAAAGATGAACTTGTCATCAGACTTCTTCGGAGCAACACGTCGCAAATAACAACGGTGCTCAGCAGCCACGACAAACTGGCCGCAAGACGGACATTTGGTGGTACCGCACTTATGCAGATCTTTAGGGCACTTACGGCGTTCAATCACTTGGCAGCAGTCCCTGCACTGGTATACCTGTAACGACAATAATTTTTTTTTAACATAACAATTTTGAGAAAATTATATGATAAATAACTTTGATCATTAAGATATATTTTCAAAACACTTACCTTATCGCAAAGTGAAAACTCTTGGTTTCCAGTGAGGGCTTTGTGTGCTGCATAACAGGCATCGGATCGGCAGAGACGGTCACAGTCTGGGCATCGTTGGGGCTGGCCTGGAAAGCAATCAGTCCTTAGGCATATAGGGCACGCATTGGCACATCTATGACTTTCAGGCATTTGGTAGGGCTTTTCACATGCTGTGCAATAATGGTTGCTACCAAAAAACCCTTTCAGGGACTTAATGACATCATAATGTCCATCGTGAAGCCACAAATTGATCCGTTGTGCCCTCTCTCTTCCTTTGTACACCACCTAAGATACAGCAAGACAAAAAAAATTCTCTTGAATTCCAAAAAATCAAAGTAAAACCAGTTTTTAACATTTAATTGCATACATAAAGCGATCTAAAAATTCCTAATGCATTTAACATCGAAAGTAATTACATGCATATATGTTAAAGTAAAACAAAAAAAATTTTCATCGTGAATTCATTTTTTATAGTTTAAAGTTTTAACATCTTAATGAATTGTGTGCATGCATAAAATGAATCTAAAAATAAAAAATTCTTCATGCATTTTTTTTTTTTTTTTACAAGTCATATTTTTAACATCGAAGCGAACCGCATTCATGCATGCATTTATGCATAAAATTTAACGCAATCTAAAAAATTCGCCATGCATTCAGTTTTACAAGTTAAAGTTTTAACATTTAAATGATCAGAAATATATGCCTAAATGTTCACTTTTTGCTATATTTTTAACATAGAAACAAATTGCCTTTGTGCATACATGTAAATAAAATCTAAAAAGTTAAAGTATTCTAAAAATAAAAATTTTTAAAAGTGAAAGTTTTAACGAATTGCATACATAAAATAAGAAATTAATCTAACAATTTTATGTAAACTAAAATCTCACTATGCATTTAATTTTTACAAGGTATATTTTTTAACATCGAAGCGAACTGCATACATTCATGGATTCTATGCGTGAATATGCATAAAATATAATCTTAAAATTTAGAGCAAGTCAAAAATTCACCATGCGTTCAATTTTGACAATTATATATTTTTTAACATGGAAATGAAAAATGCATCATGCAGAAATTTTTCTCTAAAAATCATTCAAAAATCGGACATTTTAGAAATCAGTTTTTAACTGCTATATTTTTTAACATGTATACGAATGATATGTATGCATAAAAGTTAATCTTAAAATTTAAATTTCACTGTGCATTTTGTCAAATTATATTTTTAACATGGAAAACAAATTGCCTACATGTATAAACTATAATGTGCGCATCTCAAATTTTAAAACTATTCATTACCAAAATAAATTTTACAGTTTGTCACATAAAAAAGAAGTGAAATCAAATTACGATTTTAAAATAAATATGTAGAAAAAGTTTAGGTAATTTAAGGCTAATATTTATAAGCAGAAATATCTTGAGAAAAACTGACTTACCTGATTCAAATTTTCCGATGAGAAGACTGCAATTTGAGTATCCAGGTGCTCTTCAAATCTGGCAATTTCGGTAAATGTGCAGGGACCTAGAGGCACATTTGCGGCCACATGGAGTTCCTTGCCCTGTTCACAAGAGCTGGCCGACTGCGATTTCTCATGGCATTGATGGCACTCGTATCTTTTTTCAAATGTGCCAAGGGCATACACAATGGCTTTGGCACAGCACAGTCCTTCCTCATCGTACGGAATAGACAAAATAGACTGTTTTCTCAATCTGTCTATGGAGATATTGATGACTCTCCGATTTCCTCCGGCACCCACAGGTCGTCTGATGGTGATGACATCCACCGCGAATCCTGAATCTAGCTCAATTTTGTCTTTCGACTGCATAACTTTCATCACGGCAGCCAGAATCTTTTCCACTGTTAAAGTCGAAACTGTCATGAGGGAAGTACTTATCGGTTTATCCAGCCCTTCTGCTTGGATACAAAATCGGATGAGGTCCGAGGGACCCAGATTAGTTGTCGTTCGGCGAATGAGCTGCTCAAACAGTTCCCGGACGGTGTCCGGAATTCGGACCATCGGGATGCGTTGTACGTTCTGAGGCAGCCGTTCCATATCTATACTAGCTCGGAAGGTAATCTCCTCGGCCTGATATTTATGGTTTCGGCGACGAGACTTTTCTTCGAGCACAATCGCCTCATCGATCTGAAAAATAAAAATAAGTTTCAGTAATAATGAAACATTTTCAAAAAGACATTATTTTAATAAATCATGCAAAAAAGAAAAATACACACCGAACGTTCATCGGAACCAGCCATAAAAACAGACCCACGAGCTGATGACGGAGAAGTCTAAAAATAAATAAATGCATTTTTAATACTGAGAAAAAATATTCTAATAAAATCTAAAAATGCTGAAATACTTAAATAAAGATATACTTAAATATTTACCTCAAATCCGGAGCCCACTTGATAATACAAGGGTAGATCCATAGGATTTTCCAGAAAAATCTGATCCACTTCATCGATTAACTATCAAAATAAAATAAAATACGTTTAAAATACATTCAAATAGTAATAAAATACGTTAAATAAAAAAGTGCGTTAAAAATACGTGTAAAAACTTACATCGTCATCTGAGTCCCAAAAAGGAAAGTCAGGATCTTCAAGCAGGACCTGGCAATTAAAAATTTAAATAAATAAAAGATTCAAAAAGAAATAAAATTCGTGTTTAAAATAGTAATCTAGACATTAAGTACAAGCGAAAAAATACTTACATTAGATGCAGAATAAGTTCGTTTAGCAGACATCGTGTACAAGAAAACGAAATGGCGCAGGAAAATGACAGAATCAAAATGACGTTCACTCAGCAAGAATCAGAGTAGAAATGATGAAATCGTGAAAGCTAGCGAATTTATAGGCGATATATAAGAAACAAACACGCTGCTTGGCTGAAATAAGATAGATATTGTTAGCGGAATGCTGATTGGTTGTTAAGATTGTATACGTTCGCCACGGCGGATGCAGAAAGCGTGAAGCGGTTTCAACAGACTGCAACGTGAAAGAGATGACGTTTACCTGTTCCCCCCCCAGCCTATGACGTCATGGTGATTTTTGTTCCAAACGGAAAAATAACAGGTTTGATAACATGAAGGGCTTAGCCGAGCGGTAAAGCGCTAGACTCCCATCCCAGAGATAGCGAGTTCGAATCTCAGCCGCGGAGTTACTTTTAAAATTCAGGGAAAATAATATTAATTTCCACAAAAATTCATTAAAGGTAATAAGTAAAATAATGATGTACTAAATAGTTAAAAATAATAGTTAATAATTAAAAAGTTAAAATTAATGACGTATTAAAAATTAATCAAATAACAAAATAATATTAATCACATGTCAAATAATTAAAAATAATTAATTAAAAGTGATGTCATTCCAAACACGTAGTTCAAGAGTTCGTTGCCACAAAACCTAAAAAATAGTGTCGATGCCACAAAAAATAAAAACTTTGAGACATAAAGATCGTTGCCACACCATAAAGAACGAAACTTTCAGGATGTCTTTCCGTCTACGTCATTCCTTCCATCTACGTCATTTCCGGTTGTCACGTGATTCAAGATGGCGGAGACCACGCCCCTTTTCTGTGACGTCACTTCCGTAGCACGGTTACCTCCGGTTACTACTGCCCTTGTATGGCCATGTAATTGTTCTTTTGAAAGACTCAAGGTTCAACTCTAGATATTGGTGGACGTGGCGCTACACCAATTAACCGACGGTAAAGGGGTGGTGCCCACGTCCCCCGTCGCATGTCGCATGTATATAAGTAAAGAACAGAGAAAAAAGTCTTTCAATTTATCGATGAAAATAAATGTAAAGTAGTTCAGTAATTCAGTAAAATCTATGCAAATCAACCTGGGCAATAATTTCGAAATCTAATTGTTGAAGTTATTTACCTATCGTACATAAAAAAATGACACTGTGCAGATTTACTTAGAATGTACAGACTGTTTCTAGACGAAAATAATGCGAAACCCCTTAAAATGACCACTCGCTGTTCACTACGGAAAGTTTTGGTCATCCTCGAATATGGCTAAGTTAGAAAACATAACTATCGATGATTTTCATTAAAGTTACTTTGCTAAGCTCGGTTAAATACTGTTTACTTTTCAGCTGTGGGCGCCTTTGGAAGGTGACTGGTTTCGAAAGGATTCGTGATTTATCTTAAATAATGGAAAATTACTCTGGAGTTTTATTTAATGATACTTTTTCTAAAATCAAGATCTAATGAATTCTTCATTTTGCATTGACCAATTTAAACTTCGTAGTAATAGTATTACGCTAGATTGAAACTGATAGTTTCAAAGAAATGAAAGTTAAAAATCTTATTTAAACAAACTTCATAAATTTAGTAGAAGAAATCAAATAATCAATAAACAAATTACATTTAAATAAATTAATTAATAACAATTATTCCTTAAACCACAGTAAACGTTTTATCCGTGACTATGCACTTATTTTAATAATTGAACCAATCACACAGAAAATACATAGCTTGAGAGTGTGATGAACAGTGAATATTAGCATAATATTATCTTCTGTGATCTTTCTAATAGCTGGAACTAAGTAAATGCATACGGCCAGATGTACCATATACTACTGAATTTATTCCGCTGAGAATACCTCTAGAATAAATTCCATTTGGCAAAGGAAAATATCATATTGAATCAAGCTAAACCTGGCATATTTGTTTCATGTCTCGTTCAGCTAATATGAGCCATCATTTAGAGAATTTATGTCATTGCGAAGTATTATAATCTCTCATTCCGTAAAAATGTTTTGAATATTATAAGATGAATTACAGATAAGATGAAGCTTGCTCATAAAATGCAAGACAGAAATGTATTTTTACAGCAAGTCTAGTTTTCATATCAAAACAGTTTTACGCTGGTTCTTTACTTCTTAAGCATTCTTTTCCCCCCTCTCTATCGGACACCGTTGATCCATTGCATAATAATATACATAACAATACCTTTTGGTTCTTATTTCGCTGAAGTTGATTTATATATTTTAGGTGTCAAACAACATTAAAATAACTTGGGTTCGAATATTTTCTAAACGAGAAGCCTGATGCATCAATGAAAGGACGCGAAATTGTCATTGTATTATTTCTTCTATTGGTAAAGATGACTAATTAACAAAAGTGTAAAAACTATTACAGATTTTATATTTAATCATTCTTGAGTGTACTCTGACATCATGTATTAAAAATGTAAAGTGATGAATCCTTTTATATTCTATTACCATAAAAGTGTTTTTTTTTTTTCCTTTTTACTATACCAAAGAAAATTCCATTTCCTGTAGTACTTTTAGCGTATACATCCATTCTCTTAATAAGGATATCCTGGAACTTCCGATCTTTCATTCTTTAGTTAGAAAGTTGTCATTTTGCATTATTAAATACCTATAAACCATATTTCTGAAAAATATAATGTACTCTGGTGTATATTTGATCGGACAAATTTTCTTCATGTTAAAGATAGTAACTTATGAATATGACTGGTCATCTGCAACTTGCAGCTTAACTAGATGCTACAATCGTATGCATAAAGAAATTAAAAAAATAATATTAAAGACAAAGCTGTCTCTATCAGATCTTCTGATAAGAGACTAGGGAAATTTCAAACAAAAATGAAGCTTGTTTATTAAACAATCATGTTTATACGCAGACATATTGGAGTCCATTTCGTCCTTGACATGTTATAAATTGTCTGAGGCCTTATCTCCTGAAATGTTTCCAGTATAATTATTTAGTCAAACAAAACTTACTTATTCACGAGCATTCAAACAAAAGTTATTTATTCAACATGTTAATAGATCAGTTTTTTAACGTTGGCAGTATAGCTTTCACAAGGCACTTTTATTTTCTAAATATATTTTAATTATACGTTAAGTATGCCCATTTCTATTTTCTAAATCTTTACAGATATTAACACAAATTTTAATTGTCATCAGGTAACAAAATTACTTGATATTATGTTTTACTTTGCGCAAAATTGGGTTTCTGTCAAACTATGAAGCTAATTAAAACGTTACAAACGCAGGTTATGCCAGAAAATTTATTACACAAGTTCCTCCGAAGAAATACCATTATACGAGACCTGTATTCATAATGAAATATTAACAGCAAGTCATGATTGTGTATGTACATAAAGAATAATGTATATCGGAGATTATTAAGGGCCTCTTTAGTGCTTTGGGTTATTGTATTACACGAGGCTTCACAGGTTGATTTCATTAAGGCTTTTATCAGGCTTCATGAGCCCTTTGTGTGCTTCAATTTGATTAATCAATCATAGTAATGTTATTGCAATGATTTGATCATCTGCTAGAATTAAAGGGAATTCCAATTTCGTCTCAGTAATTACAGTTACTGAAAGTAATATTTTAAATGAATAAGTTTAGCCTGTTATTGTTCCAGCTTATTGCAGTAAATTGCTTTGCTAGTTTTATTATCTTCTTTCAAGCTGTACATCGAGTATTCTCAAACTGCACACAGGCAAATCTTTCATAGAAATATTATGAAATATTGAGAGAGATCTGTACAAATGTTCTTTTTTCTCGATATACGTAATGCGCAATGGATGTTAAATGACGTTATTTTCGTAAGGAACACTAGCTGATACTGACAGTTTACAATCCAGTGCAATCTTATACACTTTGTGCAAGAAATGATCATAAAAGCACTGCAAACTGTTGAAACCAGCATATGTTCTGTACTTATCTTTCATTATAACAAATAAATACAATAGAGGAAACTACATCATTACTTATGTCTTTTAAATTATTATTATTTCTAATTTACAGAAACATAAACAAAGTTTAAGTATTTAACTAATGAAGCCGTTTAAAAAGACACTTGTATTTGTGCTAAAAATTAAGAGTGTAATGCATACTGATTCTTCAAGATTAAGACCAAAGGAAAAAAAATTAAGCCCCTGTAATTTCTGTGTAGCTCTGAAATTTTCCTCTTGAGGGTGGTGAGCATCGTATTAATTAGGTTGATTTTTAATGGTTACATTCTAGTATATAAAATTAGATGCCAATTCCGTGCTTTTTGCCTTAGCATGGTGTCATTCAGCATATTTTGCTTCAAAAAGGGTAGCAGTGTTCCAAAACATAATTTTTAAATGACGTTATTCTTTTCTAGGTGGCTTTAGTGATATTCTCTTAAGTAGAGCTAATGCATTAGAAATATAAAGACATGTAACTAGGCACAGTAAACGTACTTTCTTAAAAAATGTGGAATGAGGAAATTAGTCTCTGTTACTTAAAAATTGGTTACAGAGGTTTAAGACATAAAATTCTGAATTTTGGGATATACGCACATATGAATTAGAAATCCTTGTTGAATGCTTCAAATGCGAAAATAAAATAAACGAAACAGTTGTTGAATAATTTACCCATTAGGGTTTTTTTTTTTTTTTTTTTCATAAAACAAAAGTCACGTAAACTAAAATGTTTGCATGACAGTTTAATAAAAATGGATTCCTCGGTTTCGAAATTTAATATTTCAATGCAAATCCTACCCCCAAATATGTTTCTAACAAATCATATAGAAACTATTATGATTAAACCAGGTAACCCAGAAGATAGGTTGAACCCATACGAACATTTATGGGCCATACTTCCAAGCAAATGATACAATTAACGATGGTATACCGAAACTATGATGGAAGCAATGATGGTACGCAAGCTGCGGTTAACCAATCAACAGGCATAACGTAAAGTGAATCATAGGTTCAAATTTCAATAT